GGAGACAGACGTCCATAATTCCGTTTGCACGTTGTTGGGGGGCGAAATCTGTCTTAATGAGATTTGCTTTGGCATACCTCGCTTCATCTTCTTCTTTTTTCCGTTTTTCCTGCTCTTTTATTTGTTCTTTCGATTGGGATAGTCGAATTTCCGACAACACGTTTTCCTTGGTTAGATCATATTCTTGGGGATGATTTACAGATTCAATTGCTGTCACATGATCAATTTTGATATTTGATTCATAAGTGTTAGCGTAAATAAATATAGCAAAATTCTAGGGATTCTATTTTCCTTATTTAGATCTCTCAGTTGTATATATATGTATTCTCTTCTTGTAATAATATATCAAATTATTCTCTATTGATTACATGGTATCAGAGCCCTAGAATTCTATTTCTCAAACCTGTGGTTGTAACTTTGGATTCTTGGGTTCCCGGCGCCGGCATCATGGGCATCTAGTGTCTCCAAGGTTACAGTTTTTGCTTTCCAGTGTCGTCGATTTGGGAAATTGGTCTGGCAATTGCAGTCAGTCTCTGGGTTGGCCGCTTCCGGTGGGATTTGTCCAAGCAATTGCACCTGCCTCATTGTCTGGGTCATTCGATTTGTTCGATTTGATGTGTTGCCCCTGTGAGCTTCCACCGGTCACACCTCCATCGTCGTCGCCAACGTTTCTGGGAGTTAAGGCTACCTCTGTGAGTGGATCTCGCTTCCAGTCCGTTCAGTTCTCTAGTTGGTAGTGCTTCAGGTCCGTCCAGTATTCCAATTTGGTGGGCTCAATTTTGTTTGGTGGGCACAAAGTGTTTTTTTTTTAGGTTTGCTTCCTTTTATTGGGCCTCAATCCTTTGTGATTTTTTTGTGGGCTTTTCTTTTTTGTGGACTTGTGTAGGGGTGTTAATTTAGATATTGGGTTTTTTTGTTCTATGGCTGACGAACAAAAGAATTTGGTTGTGACTGATGTCATTCCCGTGATGTCCAAAATCACTGAACATAAGTTGATTGGTTCAAATTATTTAGATTGGTGTGGTTGAAAGAAAAAATACACCTTCTTGAGACGGCAAATGCACTCTTGTTCCAAATGCATGTTTCTAAATAGTTTTGGGCTGATGCGGTCTCCACAGCCCTTTTTTTGATTAATCGGATGCCTTCATCCGTTCTTCATGGTGGGACTCCTTATAGTGTTCTTTTTCCTACCAAACCATTGTTTTCTACAGAGCCTAAAATATTTGGTAGTACTTGTTTTGCTCAGAATGTTCGTCCTCAGGTCACTAAATTGGATCCAAAATCCTTAAAATGTGTCTTTCTAGGTTACTCTAGTCTCCAAAAGGGGTATCGGTGCTACTGTCCAAGTCTTAACAAGTATCTTGTGTCTGCTGATGTTACATTTCTGGAACATATCCCTTTCTTTCCCACTTTTTCTATTTCTTTCAATAAGGGGGAGGATGATGATCTGCTAGTTTATCATATCATTTCTCGGAAAAATGATATTATTTCTCAACCTGTTCCCACCCCGCCACCACAACCCATTCACTAGGTCTATTCTCAAAGACGTCACCCTCCTGATACATGTTCGGTGCCTATTTCTTCTTTAGCATCAGATCCCGTGTCCAGTGATCTTGCTATACCTATTGCTCTCCTCAAAGGTAAACGTCAGCGTACTTATCATATTTCCTCTTTTTTTTTTCTTATGATCACTTGTCTTCTTCCTCTCATTCTTTTATTGCTTCTATCAACTCTTTGACACTTCCGAAGACTGTTCATGAAGCCTTTTCCCATCCTGGTTGTCGTGATGCTATGATAGAGGAGATGAATGTTTTAGATACTAATGGTACTTGGGATTTGGTAAATTTACCTGCAGGCAAAAAGGCTATTGGATGTAAATGGGTGTTTACAGTCAAGGTCAATTTTGATGGTTTCGTGGCTAGGCTTAAAGCTCGTCTTGTGGCTAAGGGTTATGCTCAGACTTATGGTGTCGATTATTCTGACACTTTCTCTCCTGTAGCTAAGTTAGCGTCTGTTCGCTTATTCATCTCTATGTCAGCTACTCATAATTGACATTTGCATCAATTAGACATCAAAAATGTATTTTTACATGGTGATCTTTCGGAGGAGGTTTATATGGAGCAACCTCCTGGGTTTGTTGCTCAGGGGGAGCATAGGAAAGTGTGTCATCTTCGAAAATCATTATATGGTTTGAAACAGAGTCCACGTGCTTGGTTCGGAAAGTTTAGGTAGGCTGTAGAAAAGTTCGGAATGCAAAAGAGCAAGTCTGACCACTCAGTCTTCTACAACCAACTGAATTTGGCATTATTCTCCTTATCGTGTACGTTGATGATATTGTTATTACTGGTAGTACTACTTTGGGGATCTCATCTCTAAAGTCCTTTCTTCACACCCAATTTCATACAAAAGATTTAGGAGTGTTCCAGTATTTCTTGGGAATTGAGGTTACAAGAAGCAAGAAATGCATCTTCTTATCTCAGAGAAAATATGTGCTTGACTTACTAACTGAGATAGGAAAATCGGGAGCTAAGTCAAGCAGTGCTCCAATGCTTCCTAATTT